CTCGAATTGATACATATTTCAAGCAGAGTGGCTTTCTACAATGTCCATATGAGCACGCACTCTACGTGAAGAAGAATGAGAATGGAGTCTTGTTTGTCGCCCTGTATGTGGACGACCTAATCTTTGTGGGAGACAACGGAAAAATGGTTAAAGATTTCAAGGAAGCGATGAAGAATGAATTTGAAATGACAGACTTGGGACTATTAAAATACTTCCTAGGCCTTGAGGTGAAGCAAGCCGAAGACAGAATATTTATTTCCCAAGAAGCCTATGCTAAGGAGATTCTGAAAAGGTTCAAAATGGAGGAATGCAAGCCGGTCAGGACTCCAATGGAGACTGGAACCAAACTTTCTAAGTTTGGGGGAGGAAATCAAGCTGACGCAGGCTTATATAGAAGTCTGGTCGGGTGTCTTAGGTACTTAACCTGTACGAGACCGGACCTGGCTTTCAGTGTTGGGGTTATCAGTCGGTTCATGGAGGACCCGAGGGAATCTCACTGGAAGGCGATAAAGAGGATCCTGAGATACATCCAAGGGACGAAGACGCACGGGCTATTGTACGGGAGGTCGGCCGAGCCCAAAATGATAGGGTATTCTGACAGCGATTGGTGTGGAGATGTAGACGATCGAAAGAGTACCACCGGTTATGTTTTCAATCTGGGAAACACAGCTTTCACTTGGTTATCAAAGAAGCAACCGATTGTAACTTTGTCAACATGTGAAGCAGAGTATGTCGCAGCATCATACTGTGTAAGACACGCAGTTTGGGTGAGAAAGATGATGACCGAGCTGGAGCTCGGGAAGACGGAGCCGACTACGATTGGTGTTGACAACAAATCAGCAATAGAGCTTGCAAGGAATCCAGTCCACCATGAGAGGAGCAAGCATATTGACGTTCGATTCCACTTCATCCGAGAGCAAGTGAAGAACAAAGAGGTCAGTCTAATTCACGTAGCGAGCCGGGATCAAGCAGCAGACATCTTCACAAAGGCATTGCCAATCGCAACCTTTGAGCATTGCAAGTTGGGGGTCGGAATGAGAGACCCAAGAGAATTAAGATTAGGGGAGGAATTTGTTGGGATTAATTAATTAATCTTAATTAGTTTACTTCCTAGGGAACATAAATTATCTTTCCCTACTTTTATTGGAAAGATGAAAGGTCTTCTTGGAAAGGTAAATTGTATTTCCTAGGGATTATTTTACTCCACTTGTAATGCCTATATAAGGCCACCAATTGTAATGTTTTATCAAGTGGAATATAATACATTCTCCTCCATTCCTTTGAGTTGTAAGTTAGCCAAACACTTATAATATTTTCGGATATTTGGGGCCTTCAACTTAAGCCCACTATATAAAGGACCAATACTGAAATTTCAAATGGAACAAGTAGGCAGTTTAAGTTTTAACTCCATTTTATGCTGAAATATGAACGGAAAGAAAACATCAAGCAAGGGAAGAAGCTCCTTAGGGCTGGAGAACAGTAGAAGGCATTATATAGCTAATAAATCAAATCAACTGTCGAATTTGAGTCATGATGCATAGGAGGTTTGCAAGATCTCAAAATTTCGTACTTCATAAAAAATATTCAATGCTGAATTGAACCGTAGGTTTCTACAAAAGCAAGAAAATTTTAGTTTACAAAACAGCAATAGCGGAATAAAAAAAAACTAATCCGCCCGCCCAATCAGTGCGCGTAGAATTAAAGATTTGATGCAGAATTAAAGAACAACCCAGAATTACGTACCAGCAAGAAGGGATCGGTTTATGCTGCGTTGCCTTGAGTCTTGTTCAGCCTAGATTTTTACAAATAAATACTCCGTATTTATAAGCATCGAATAATAATAACTTGAAAGGAAAATACAGAATATGTTTAAGGAATAAAACTATCATCATCCTTTTTTAAAATACACAAATACTTTATTCCTAATTAAGGCAATTTCTCATATACTGAATACTTCGTACTTTATAATTTATTTACTTTACTTGTATTAAATATATTTAAGAATACCAATATATATATATAAAAGAATTTCTTTTTATGTTTTTAGTACACTCACATTAATATAACCTTCACTAGCGCATTATAGTCTATGCTTGGACGTAGTTTACATTTTTTCTTATTCTTTTACAAATTATATTTCCAAAACCACACTTGTAAATAGATTCAGAGTTTTCACTATTATTGATTATTTAAAATAATTAAATTTGGACAAAATTATAATGGAGTGTACATAAAAAATAACAAAAATAACATTACAATGTATCTATGGATTGCTTGAATTTAGTAGTACACTTATTCTCTAACATATAAATATTTCATTTCTACTGTACTTCTCTCAGGTCGTGCCTTTCTTTAGGCGGGAGAAGCTTGGCCTCAGGCCCTCCCAAAAAATTAAATATTAGAAACTCAGAAATTTAACTGTGTGTATTTAAAATAAAAATACAGAAACTATATATTGACTCTCTGGCTTAATTCATCCGCTACTGAAGTAAAAAAATCGTAGGAACAACAGAGCTATCAACCAAGTAGTGAAGTACAAACCCCAACTTTCGAATTTGTTGATATGTTATTTCCAAAAAGAGTCTACGTTTTGTATTGATTTGCTAATTTGATGAATTGTTGACTTTTGAATGACCGAATGAACTAACTTATTAATTTATGTTTTCTAATTGCTATAATTATTGATTAACTCTTCTATTATTGTTTGGGATATACAGTAGTTACATTAAAAGTGCTATTAAAAATTAAAAGCAAGTTGATTCTTGTTGTTTTTACGAAGTAGTGAAGTTGTGTCATGTCTTGGTGAAACTTTTATATTTGAGAATTGAGATCAATTTTTTATTTAAGGTTATCAAGATTAAAAATTATCCAAATTTTCAATTAATTAATCCAGCTGTGTGCTTTGTATTTGTACAAAAAAATAGATTGTGATGAATTATTTAATACTTTAACAAGAGGAAGTATTCTTCATTATGCCGGATTGTTTAATACTTTTGCTTCTAAGGTTATTCGGCGAGTTGTTCTTAATTAGTTATTTTAATAAATTCGGTATCGTTATGAGTAATGTAAGAGTTTTAATTAAGTATTGAGTTTTTGCCTTGTGTGGTATTAATCTTTTGTTTCCAAATATGTTGTGTTACAAACACAAACAAATACAATACATACAGGGACCTTTTATAAAACTCGACTCAGGCCCAAGTTTATGTAGGATCGGCATTGACTTCTGTCTTATTAATGTGCAAGCACATATTTTTGAGAATTTTTCTTGAGGAATCTGGAAGGATATGTATGGGCAACGAGTGAAAAATCGGTGTGTATTTCCACCCTATAACATGGATTCGCTTATTCCAAACGCCTCATTTTTAGCATTGATAGAATAGTGAAAGAGTAAATCACATTATTATCTCAAATAGTTACTCCCTCCGTCTCGGAATTATCTTCATACTTTCCTTTTCGGTCTGTCCCAAATTTATCTTCTCTTTCCCTTTTTAGCAAAGATTTTGTGTTTCACAACCATTCTTACACATTTCTCTTTCCTCTGCACAACTCTCCACCACACATTTCTCACTATCTTAATATATGTGCCAATTGTACTTGTGAAGATAAATATGGAACGGAGGGAGTATTTAAGAGGGGGTTCACAGTTCGGGCACACAAGAAGTCATCACAATGAAAATAGAGCCCTATATTGTCATTGTGGGAATTGAAGGTATGTTTGAAACAACTAGTTGAAAATATATTTTTATCAGTTTTTTTAGAAGTTTTTAGTTTTTAATGACTGAAGAGATTTTGAAATAAAAAAGTATAATTGTTTGATAAAAACTTTATCTAGTGAGGATACTAGAAAGCTAGAAAGTGAGGATTTATGTCTACCATGTTTGCACAGGATCTAAAACCTCAATTCAATTGTCTCACTCAATTGAGCTACAGGTAAAATGTGTTGTTAATGCAGTCTTAGAATTAGCTGGTCGAGCTACTAAAATGGGGTCAGCATCATTAGGCATAAAACAATCAAACTGCTACCATGAGCATAGAAATTCAAATATGGGTCTTATGTGCCTTTTTTAGTACGCCGAGCTGTTACAAAATTTTAGTCAAGACGAGTGCATTATGCCATATAAAAATAAGGTCCTTTTTCAGTTTGGAGAAACTGAACTACCCGTTACACTATATGGTACATGGTGAGCGTACAGATACCCAATTCCTGGGAGTCAAGGCTATCTGGAGGGGCGGATATGGAGTTCAAGATGTATTCATTTATATGAATATAAAATCCGAGATCTTTCAAGTCTATTATGGTCATAACACACTTCAAATTATCCCACTCACTGAAGTACTCTTATTACTTTCATGTCACTTTTCTCGTCTGGTCTGTTGTGCCAACTTCAATTGAACGAAAAGATGCATAAATATGTGTTTGACCCCAGGGCGACAAAATTTGACTATTTGCTTACGAGGCTCAGTCAATAGGATACGTTGGATATACTTTCTTGAAATAAATACTCCTTCCGTCCCATTTCACTTTGCCAATTTTCTCTTTTTTGTTGTCTCAAAAAACTTTATTACTTTCCAATTAAAGCAACTAATTTGTAATTCTGCACATTTCTCTCTCTTCTGCACAAATCTGAACTACGTTTTTACTTTTTTTTATTTCTAACCTACTTTACACTTGTCAAAAGTCAACAAGTCTGAGGTAGTATTATACGAATACGAATACTATGAAAGCTATAAACATGATTTGAAATGTTGACTTATTAGTACTGTTTTGCATATCTGTTGGTGAACGTGTACGGAATATATATGGATATACAAAGGCAAATACTCCGTATATAATTCCCCACATGCATCATTTTAAGCAAGGCATAATACAGCTGTAGCAATAGTGGATGGACCTCTGCTTGACCCCAGGGCGACAAAAAAGCTGCTCAGTATAATGCCCCTCCAGTTTTTTTACTTGGACTGTTTCCAATCAAACAAACTCATTACAGCATCGTATCACTGTTAAGACTTCATTATTTAGCAAATGGGGATTATAAGCAAAAGTCAAGTAAAATAGAGTACAAATATTTGAAAGCCAGGTTGCCAAACTAAAGATCCAACAGGATGAGATCGGTAGGTTAGCTCCGGGATCACAACACCTGATTGCAATATAATAGAAAAGAAAAATGAACTCCAAATAAAGATCTTCACAGCAGCATAAAATGCAAAATGCTAACAAGTCTGACGCCACACATCAACACAACATAATTATTGTTCATAAACGAAAACTAAAAGTGAACACACGATACACTTGATATCAAGTGCAAAAGACCATACATGGGTCTGGATCAACAAGAGAGGAATCTATAAACCACCACGGAGACGGAGGACAAGGTGGAGTGTGGACTCTTTCTGAATGTTGTAATCAGCAAGAGTGCGCCCATCTTCCAACTGCTTCCCAGCAAAGATTAATCTTTGCTGATCTGGTGGGATACCCTCCTTGTCCTGAATTTTAGCTTTCACATTATCAATAGTGTCAGAGCTTTCCACCTCCAAAGTAATGGTTTTTCCAGTCAAGGTCTTCACAAAAATCTGCATTCCACCTCTAAGCCTCAACACCAAATGAAGAGTGGATTCCTTCTGAATGTTGTAATCAGCCAGGGTCCTGCCATCTTCAAGCTGCTTCCCCGCAAAGATGAGTCTCTGCTGATCTGGCGGGATTCCTTCTTTGTCCTGTATCTTGGCCTTAACATTATCAATGGTGTCTGAGCTTTCTACCTCCAAGGTGATCGTCTTTCCTGTGAGAGTCTTCACAAATATCTGCATCCCACCCCTCAATCGGAGCACCAAATGAAGAGTCGATTCCTTCTGAATGTTGTAATCAGCCAGCGTTCTGCCATCTTCAAGCTGCTTTCCAGCGAAGATCAATCTCTGCTGATCTGGAGGAATGCCCTCTTTGTCTTGGATCTTGGCCTTTACGTTGTCGATGGTGTCTGAGCTCTCAACCTCGAGAGTGATCGTTTTCCCTGTAAGGGTTTTCACGAATATCTGCATCCCACCCCTGAGACGAAGCACGAGGTGGAGGGTTGACTCCTTCTGGATGTTGTAATCGGCCAATGTACGGCCATCCTCGAGTTGCTTTCCTGCGAAGATCAGCCTTTGCTGGTCCGGGGGGATTCCCTCCTTATCTTGAATCTTGGCCTTCACGTTGTCTATGGTGTCAGAACTCTCAACCTCGAGAGTGATCGTTTTCCCGGTTAGGGTTTTCACGAATATCTGCATCCCACCCCTGAGACGTAGCACTAGGTGGAGGGTTGACTCCTTCTGGATGTTGTAATCAGCCAAGGTACGGCCGTCCTCGAGCTGCTTTCCGGCAAAGATCAGCCTTTGCTGGTCCGGAGGAATTCCCTCCTTATCTTGAATCTTCGTCTTCACGTTGTCTATGGTGTCAGAACTCTCCACCTCCAGGGTGATTGTCTTGCCAGTTAGGGTTTTCACAAAGATCTGCATCTGCAGAATACAAATCGCAAAAATTCAAACGATAATCATATAAAACGCATACATCCCGTTTCAAATAACCCTGATTCATTCGTTCAGATCCCTAAGCGCAATTGCAGCATACGATTAAAAAAACAAGGCACCCATTAATAAACAACGAAACACAGATCCCTAAACCAGATCGTAGATTATGAGCGGATCTAACAAGAACATTAAAAACAGAAGTTATAAACTTACCTTGAAAGAGGACTCCTGAGAATTTAAAATAGAGAGAATTGAGATGATTGATGAATAAGATGGTGAAGGTATGCGAGGTATATAAAGGCGTCTCGGCCGACTCACGAAATATATATATTTTATATATATTAAAATGGAAAAGTGTGGGGGAGTTTGGGAGGGAATTTGGGTGGCATTATGCATTTAAAATTCAAATTAGGAAAAGGTGTTTAGGCAAACGTGTGTTTTAGGAAAAGGTGTACAACTGAGATTATGAAAAGGTTTTTAACAAAACGTGTGATATTAAACATGTGAATTATTTAAGGTGGCTTTTGGTCTTCACAATTTGTAATTAGTAGTAACCGGTTTAATAAAAATTCATTCTTGATTTTGAACAACCGGTTAGATGTGGGTGGGGTTAGTAGTAACCGGTTTAGTAGTAACCGGTTTAATAAAAATTCATTCTTGATTTTGAACAAACGGTTGAACAACCGGTGGCTTTTGGTCTTCATTCTTGATTTTGTAATTAGTAGTAACCGGTGGCAATTTTGTTGTGGCAAATGATATTAAATTCACATGTTTAATATCACACGTTTTCCTAAAAACCTTTTCATAAGTGGCTTTTGAACAACCGATTAGATGTGGGTGGGGTTATATGAAACGATTTTTTATTTTGAAAGATGCTTTTGAACTTAAAAAAACACGTGAACACTCAAACATTAAATAGGGTTGAAATTTATTCTATAAATAAGGACCTCAACATCTTTACAGCCCACCATAGGTGCATAGCAAGTAGAAACGAAGGCATCACTTGAGTTCAATATTTGTGGAAAAATGGCGGGTATGTTTGGTTTGATTCGGGATGTATATCCTCAATCCAGGATTTGGGGTTTAAGACTAAGGCTGGTGCGGATGTATTACTCACAAAGTGAAGACGGTGAAGTTAGGAGTCTAGAGTGTGTGTTTCATGACAAGGAGGTAGATATTTGCTATATTTACATTCAGTTACAAAACGAATATTTTCTTGAATATAGATTGTAAGGCAATTTTTGACAAATAATTGGTTTCGTTAATGCCCTGCGGCTTTTTTTATTTTAAAAATGCTAGGGAGATCGGATCCATGGAACGATTTGAAGCTTTTTTATTGCAAAGTATAAGGATGCAATGAAAGAGGGAGAGGTTTATGCAATTGGCAAATTTGTTGTGGCATATGATGGTAAAAAATACAAGACCACACCAAACAAGTTCAAGATACTTTTTCTCCCAAAGACACAAATTACGGAACACAATGAGCCGGAGTTCTTGAACGAGGTGTATAAATTCAAATCTTTTGAGAGTGTGTTGACAGCAAACATATTGGATGAAACCGAAATGTTTGGTTAGTAGTTTTTCCGAGTTTGTTTAGATTATATTTTTATTCCCATAAAATATATTCATAAATACGTGTTGCATTTTCACTTGTGCTAAAATGATTTTTTTTTTATGTTTAGATGTTATTGGTCGCATTGTCTCAAAAAGAGGTGTAGAAGATACATTGGTAAAAGGAGTGCCACATAAAACAAGACAAGTTTTGCTTCAAGATAATGAGTACGCGTTTGCGTCCTACACGTGAAGTATCATGCTATTCTATCATAATTATTATTACATATATTTTTTATATATTCATAGGATGCGCCAGATTCGGTGCACATTTTGGGACAACTACATCAATGAAGTGAATCCGTATTTGGATAACAATACGGTTGAACCCGTCATATGTCTTGTGCAATTCTGTCGTGCAAAGATGTTTAATGGTTTGATTTGGGTTACTCTTGCTCATATAATAAATTTACATAATTTGAAAATGAATATTTTAGTATAGCAAGTGACATTGGTATTGACGGTTTGTGTAGGTACACCGCAATTATCAACCTCATTCCACATTACAAAGGTTATCATTAATGGAACAAGTGATGAGTTCAAGCGTTTTAGGGATGGATAAATGGATATCATTTTTATTTCACAATAATAAATGAATGGGTTATTTTAATACAATTTTTTAGGCTTACTATTACGTCGTTTCTTTGTTCTTTTACAAGTATGATCGAGAGAAACATTGAGGTGCAAAGTATAAGTACTCTTTCAGTGACATCAAACTCACGCTTGCCTATATTGGAGGAACTTAACAACTTGACTGGACCGTTGAAAACTATAGATGAACTCTATGAATCGAAAGAGGTTTCATTTTCAACTTCGAATTTGTTTCTTTTTTTCCAAAATGCAAATTAAAATTGAAATATGTTTACAGGGCGGAAGTTTCTGGGTGTATGCAAGGATTGTTGCAATAGAGAGTGGTGACAACTGGTGGTATTTATCCTGCCCAAACTGTACTAAGAAACTTGATAAAACAGATTCGCAATTCCATTGTACAAATTGTGCCAAGTCGTGTGTTGATGGTGTGCCAAGGTTACGTCTTACTTAATTTCCGAATTAACTTTTGTTTTAATATATGTATATATATGGAAAACAATGGAAACTTAGACATAATTTGCATGAGTAGATATAAGGTTATGGTACGTGTTGCTGATTCTACTGGGAATGCACCAGTAATTATTTGGGATCGGGTTGGCCGAGAAATGTTTGGAAGGGAGGCGGCTGATTGCAGAGACACCCTTATAAGTGTAAGTAATATGGTATGCAGTAGTCTCCATCGACATTTATTATTAAGTAAAAAACAAGATCAAAAGATATTTTATTGTGTTTCTATGATTCATTAGACTGGTCGTGAGATCGACTTTATTCCCGTTGAGATCGAGGCAATTGTTGATTCAAACATGTTGCTGAAGATACAAGTGAAACCGGAGCAGCTTAACAACTACAACGCCATTTTCAGTGTAATGAGGTTTACTAAGGATGCTGCCCTAATTGAGCAGTTTGCACAGAGACATAATGAAGACCAGGTGACTTTTATTAGTATATGGTTTCTTATTCAAGTAGTATACTAAAATGGTTCAGGAATTGATTTTAAGCGCTCTTTATGATATCTAGGAGTCTGATGTCTTCTCAAAATTTTGTGACGATTCAACAAAGGAAAAGGTGGGGTCCTCGGATAATGAGGTCTCAACCCCAGTGAAGCTTAAGGATGTGGAAGATAACAAAAGTGATACTCTGGGTGCAAAACGGGAATTGCTGGGAGAGTTTTCATCAAATGCTTCGTCCAAGAAAGTTAAAGTGGTGGTCAAAAAGGAGAAAGAAGCATAGTGATGTTGTACTATTTGAGAAACAATTGTTTTGGAGAGCCTTGAGACACTTTTTTGCCTATTTTTATTACTACCGTTTGAACAATTTATTTTTGCTTATTTTGAATACTATGTGATGGCATTTGTGTCGTGCCAGAACAGAATGATGTTTTGTTTGATTTATGGTTTTGAAATATATGTTGCATTTTGTTGATTTTGGTTGATTCTTAAAAAGTACAGGGATAGGTTTTCAAAAACCTCTCCAGGTTTGCATATCTAATTCTACTTTTTAATTGCAGGAATTCAGTACAATTTTGAAGATTGATCATGGGAGATGGAAAGCTGTTTGTAGTGTAATAAAAAACGTTGATGTAGTGTAATAAAAAAACGTCGTTGATGTAAATCTGTTTGAAGAATATATTCGTTAAAGATTGTGACGCATTTATAACTTTTTTTAAGCTTATGCAATTTGTTACGATCATGAATTTAAATATTAATGCATAAGTTTATGGAAAAAACAGTTATACTAGAGGTTTCATTCGTACCTGAAACATTTTAATTTAGATAAGTCAAGCAGCAATATTTAATAAAAAAGTGCAATTGGAAGGGCATTTGAACTTTAGTTATATATAATCTTTTCAACTTTAGTTATATATAATCTAAACAAAAAAAATAGGTGGTGTATAAACACACTGCCGGACAAGGTATAATTAGAATAATTTTGAGTTTCTAAAACTGTTATGAATGAGAACTCCTCAAAGCAGTTTTAGTAATAATAGTTGTTTGACTATGTCAAACAACTTTTTTGGTCAACCTATATCAAACAACTAAAGTAAAAAAAATCAAACAACTAAAGTAAAAAAAATCAAACAACTAAAGTCAATCTAATAGCAATTTTAGAAACAAGCTGATGAACCCACTTACTGACTTACCGAACACTCGACTCAATGGGAATTGATCTCTTTTTTTAAAAAAAAATAAAGCTAGTCATATGCATGTCCATAACTTCCCATATAGTAGTATTTTTGCCATATATATGCCCTATTTATATTTGAGGTTTTACTGTCCCAACTTTGTTAGATGTTCCTATATCAATCGGGATGACATTCAAAATTATATTTATCTATAATAAGATGACTATGGGTTCAGGATTTTGATACTCAGGGTAGCCCCAAGCTACATCAAAGGATTGAATTCAATTATTTTTAAATAGATTAATAGACTATGGGAAAGTGTACAAGAATACAACCAACCCGTGGGGAAAATCACTGATTTCTGATTCGAATTTCGAAGAATGAAGTGCTGAGTACTGCTGGGATTTTTTTTGAGTTTGTGTTATTTTTTGAAGAAGATATTGGTTGAAAGAAATTACATAGCCCACCTATTGCTGCCATTCTCTTCCCTTTTTATCATAATATATCATCTCTCATTTGCGAAATGATATGATTTTTGCTGAAGTCGTCTATTTTCGTTCGTAGCAGGACATATCATAATAAAATATGGAGTACTCCTTAAATTCTAAGCTCGCTAAGGCTTTGTTTGGATCCCGTGAAATGCTAGGGAAAGAACAGAATAACTTTGATGTTTCTAAGAAAATCTATATATGTTTAGATTGCATATAATTGTATAATGCATATCACATATGAATAAATAAAAACAATTTCAAAGAAGTATTAAAAGTATTATTAAGTTTGAACTAGCATGTTATATAATTTCCCTAAACAATTTTTATCCTTCCAAATTTCTGCTACATTTTCCATGCTAATTTCTTTCCCTGGCATTTACTCCGTTCCAAATGGACCCTAAGAGTAAGAATTTGCAATCTATTACTTGTGAATTTCTGTGTTTCCGAACTAACTACTCTAATCGCTACAAGTTTTCCAGTGTAAGAGGACTACAATGATCTATATGAGACATACAGGATTACAGGGGTGTTCACAAACATAAACAAATCACCTCAGTTATGCAAAGCAGCAGCAACAGCCTTTGGTACCCAGCTTTTCCCTTGAGAAGATAAGTCCATTCCTTCACCTGACTCCAGCTTTCTTCGATTGTGTGCACTTTTCTTTCCTGATGAGCTTAGGGAACCCTCAACTGGAAAGATGGAGCAAACGCAAATCTATGGGTAAATATACAAGTAAACCATTTACAAGTAAATATTATCAATTCTGAGAAAGATCTGTGTATATGAAATCAATCCTTGAATCTCTCTAAAAAGGAATTGAGTTTCATCCCTGATTACTCCAGGCCCCCCCGCCCCCCGCCCCCCGCCCCCAGACGCGCCCTGGAGTTAACAAAAAAAGAAATCAATCCTTGAATGTCTCTAAAAAGGAAATAGATTACACTTGAAGAGCTGTTGTACATAATAGGTAAAACGCCCATATGGCCGCACTGCCACAGACTTATGGACAGGATAAAGTATACGGGCTTTTTCCCTATTTTAGTCATTTGACTATTATGGCAATTTCACTTTTGATTCCCGTGTTTGAATTTTTCCAATTTGAGAACTTTTGCTATTTTGAGAGACACTTTTGGTACACGCCCGTCTTTGAACTATCCATTATTAGGAATTTGGGTATTGTGACAGCACACTTGAAATTCTTCCACCATTGTAGTAACCATGAAGACCAAAATATAGATGGAGAGAAAAAAGTGCCATTGTTACAATAGTTACGACCAAAAGTGTTATTGTAACAACCGTTAGAAGATCAAATGTGGAAAAATTCAAAGACAGGTACTAAAAAAAGCTATCAGAGCACTAAGAATGGAAAATTCAAAGCCGCAAGAGTCACTCCCACAATAGTTACTAAAAACTAAGTCGGAAAAGCTCTAAAGTCTAAACTCTAAAGTATACATTTAGGAGCACCTTGCCATGGGTTTATGTTTATCCAGTAAAAACGTTTCATTCCATTATGATGTGACCAGTACACAAATATTGTCCATAATTTTTTGGGGTCATATCTTAACCTGTCAACTTACATTAAAATCTCCAGAAAACGAGTAGTCTAATTTAAATAAGATATGGTACGTACCTTGCCACTCCCAGACCACCTTAGATTCACCCTTCACCACCTTAGGGTACTGTTCTAAACGTGAATCTTCACGAACTAACTCCTCAACCTGTAGAAGTGAAGTTTAATGACTGACCTGTAAATTGTGATGTGAAGGTAATATGTGTGCTTAAAGAGTTACAGCCTAACAGGTAGGGATAGAGGAAGCGGTTGTATCAAGTTACAGCCAGCCTGAATAGCTACAGGGCCTATTAGGAATTAGGATACAGGATTTGGAGGGGAAGGTTTAGGAGGGTCTTAGAATCCCATATAGAAAATTAGAGAGAGAACGATACTAGTATCTTATCAAGACCTTGGGGGTGGAACTAGATAATATTGGACTCAATCTTTAAGTTTTAATATAGTTTGGATCAAATATCTTATGACCTAGTTTAGTGATTTCCATCCAGTCCTGATTTCTATAACAGACTTTAGACTTTATCTTGATAAAATATTTGAGATTTTTCAAAAATTGAAAGATAGACACAAGACGTGATTGTATAATATTTCAGTCACTCTTTATTCATCTTTAGTAACATTTTGTTGATCAAGATATAGCCGAAACCGTCTAAATTATTCCCCTTCAAACACCTCCATAAACCTTCATCCAAACAGTCCCTTAGATCTCCCTCATATTAGGTTTGAGCAAATTTAATGATATAGACAAATCTATTTACACTACAATTTAAAACCAATAAAGACCTTGATGCACCTCTTGAACCAAAGGATTGCAAAGGATAAAAAGTTGCTGGTTTTTATGACCAGTATTTGCATACGCTGAATAAGGGTTAACCTCGCCCCCAGAAAATTCCCCAAGAATTCCCGAAGAGTTAAAGAATAGGAAGTAAACCATTTCATTGATTTGAAAGTCAGAAAATTGAGAGCCCATGATCTGTACAGAACAATATTAGATAACAAAAAACATAATACTGCACGTCTGCACCACAATGATAACGAAAAACGTTTAACACATTATGATGTGTCGTAAAGTTTTGGAAAATAAACTAACTGCTTCAATCTTTGTCTTATTACACAATATATTAAATTAACTACTTTTATGATTTTTACAAAAAAGACCAATTGCAACCTTGATGAAAACATTAGGGGCATACCTAAAGCAACATTAAGGGTCAATCTTCGCCTAGAAGCAAACATTAAAAGCATATTTGGACCATTTCCCAACTATTAGCCCGCGTGAAAATCTAAGAGAAGTATACAACAGAACATTACAACCAAATACAGTTTATAACAGCCATCAAATAAGTTATATACTTCTATCTCTCTCTGATATATTCTGCCTCCATAAGTTGAAGATGACGGAAATGAATGAAAAAGTAACAGTAATTCAATTTCTGAAATATATTTCTAGAGCAGTTATCTGCTAGGAGAAAGTATCCCTCTATCATCGTATTCAAAATACCTTTTTCCACAACAATGGGTCTTTTCTCTCTGCGGGTGAGAGAAGATAATCTCGTAACCATGAAGCAATCACCCATGGTTCACTCTCATAGTTAGTACTCCTCGAAATCAATGCCTTCTCTTCAACGACATCACAAACCTGTTACAGCCATAACAGGCAGTGAGCGACCATCGCATGTATGAGAAAAAAATACCATTGAAAATCCATGCCAGGCAGATTCTTAAATGTCCGTTTGTTAAGCATTGTTTGGCTGATATGACTACATTTGCTGAGGAAAAGCATTTCGTAAAACGTTTTAACCATGCCTTGAGGAAATATTAGAGGGATATTTGGACCTAAAACAATGTTAACAATCAATATGCACCAAGAGGAAAATGCCAGGACATATTTGCAGCTACAACAATGTTAAGGGACAATAAGAAGAGTAAGACAATCAATGTTACCAAACATGGCTCAAATTGTAAAAAATTAAATCATGTATGACCTCCGTCCTAAACTAAGAGTCATGTTCAACTAAGGTACAACTTTTGAATTTCATTATGGTACAACTGTAAACCTATACGAAATAATTAATTCTAGTTATTTAAATTAAATTGAAGGTTTAACTAAATTTAATATACTTGTTTGGGACACAAAAATATACCACCTCCGTCTCTTTTTATTTAGTCATCTTTGACTTTTGCCGTCAAAGATGATAAATTTTGATCCATTGTTTTAACTAATATATTTATGTCAAACTTAATAAAGTTAAACTTTTAAGATAATATTTTTAAAAAGGCTAAAGGGTCAAATAAGCCCTCGAACTAACTTAAAAAGTGCAAACTACCCCTTATATAGGAGGCTCTGTCCGGCCGTCATCATTTGGGGCGGTTCCCGGTGGAATTTTTTAATGAATTTTTTTGAGCATCGTATTCATTAAGTCTAGTTTACTCATACCAAATTTCAGCTAAAACTTCAATCGGGAAGGCAGTCAAATGAATTTTTTACGATAACTGCGCAGTTAAACCGCGCAATACATTTCAGAAAATCATTTGATTGTCTTCCTGATTTAATTTTTAGGCTAAAGGGTCAAATAGGTACATGAACTAACTTAAAGTGTTCAATTAGCCCCTTATATAGGAGGTTCTGCCCCACCGTCGCCAATTGGGGCGGTTCCCGGTAAAATATTTTGATGAAATTTTTTGAGCATCTTCTTCATTAAATCTAGTTTACCCATATCAAATTTCAGCTAAAAATTAAATCGGGAAGGCAGTTAAATGATTTTCCAAAATGTACTGCGTTGTTTAACTGCGCAGTTAATCAGTTATCTTCAAAAAATCATTTGACTACCTTCGTGGTTGAATTTTTAGCTGAAATTTGGTATGAGTAAACTAGACTTAACGAAGAAGAAGCTCAAAAAATTTCATCAAAAAATTCCAAAGGGAACTTCCCCAATTGGCGACGGCCGGGCAGAACCTCCTATATAAGGGGCTAGTTGAACACTTTAAGTTAGTTCATGACCTATTTGACATTTTGACCCTTTAGCCTTTTAAAAAAGAACATTTCCATATCATTTTCATATTATCAATATAACCGTGTATAAATATATAATCGGTCAAAGTTTAACATCATTGACTTGAAAAATAGCGTTTGGCTAAATAAAAAAGGACGGAGGGACCGAGGGAGTATTATATTAAATAAACAACAACAACAACAACCAAGCCTTAGTCCCAAAAAATATTGGGGTCGGCTAACATGAATCGATACATGATATCTATTCATATTTCGATTCATGTCATGTGACTAGGTGATACTGTTGGCCGTCACACGCCTACCACAACACCCTCCTCCTTTATCCTGGCTTGGGACAGGATATAATGACAAAATAAGTTTCTGGACAGAGCTCTTTTTTGGGACAGGAGTATCAAATTCCATATGGTCATTATTTCATCAACAATATACAAAGGCAAACCAATGGAATTAAATCTTGTAGGTTTATCAGCACAAGTAAATTAAATACCGGGAGATGCTAGCATTGCCAGGTAATACGGTTAGTTAGAAATCAAAGCACAAAGAACCATAACAAACTGTGCAGCTCTTACTTCATTATAGAGTTCTTCAGCTCGGAGTGATAAGTAGTGCCTCCGACGGACCCTCAACAGTATCACAAAGCACCCAACAAGCTGTAAATCTCAATAACATCAACAAAGCTTGAACATGTTGATATCACAAGCTCTCAAAAGCAGATGCATGTTAATATTGAATACCAATGCACAGGCTGCAAGTATTGCTGTAGTATTTTCTACAATCCACTGCTGAACAAGACAAGAAAGTGGCAAGTGTTTTTGAGCTAGCTGGTCCGGACACTTCACCTCCTTAATTCTACAAAATAAAACATACATAATTATAAAACGCATCAGCTCCTATTCATAATGATTAATGACTCTCCATTATTCTGAACAACTTAAATTTAATTTTTTTCCCCAAACTGAACTAAGAGTACATAAAATGGGATTTACTTGTGGTTTAGGATCATTGTCACCTATGAACTCTGATGCCACCTAAGACCTACCAACCTGTATGGATGTACCACCACTAACCCATCCCCCAATTGACTGCACCCATAATCACTTACCATCTAATATTCACTTACCCCTGCCCACCACTTACCCCAATCCCTAGTTTGCTACCTACCCCAACACAACCTCCCTGCTCTTCAGTCTTCACTACTACACCACGTCACCACTACTCAGTAACATTGTCATGTGTAACTTGCACTGATAATATAACAGTGAAAATAATCCTTGTTTCATGATAATCAAACAAAAACATGATCTATAGTTTAGTGATCATAAACATTAAAACAAATGGCCATTCAAAAAAATTGTAGCTAAAGTGTGTTGTTTTTTCTCACATTACGTACTTCATATAAAAGATCAGCTGAACCATACCCATGGTGATCCATCCTTCTCTCAAGTAATTCGCCAACTGCCTCAATAGCTCTCTGCTTTGCATGACCATATGCAACATCACTTAAACCATAATAGTTCATCATCTTAGTTTCTCCAAACTTATTCAAAACCCCATCTTCTTGAACCTAAACGCAGAATGAGTATTTAAATTTTGTTTACCTGTGCACTGTTCTGCGCCACACAGGCAAAACCCTTTATGGACAAAATAGTGCACAAAGAGTCATGGAAACAAGAATCTTTAGATAACACAAACCCAAATAGCACCAGTTCCACCACACATATGTTGAGCATATTCCTTGCACACGTGATCTTCTACAAACTTGTACTGCAATTGCATTATGCACTTCTTCCATTAGATCTCAGTAACACACTCATAAAGCTTTCTTTTACTCTTTTCATAATAAAGGAACCTAAGAAAATAAAAAATATAGTTACATACAAGTTCCTTTGCGGCTTCACTAACTTTTGAATCTTCTATGCATGAGTCCCCATGCTTCTGATAGCCATGTGCACATTCCAATTTGCCATCATAGCACACTCCATTACTTGGACAAGGTTCACAGAAGTCTAAAGCATGAGAATTGAGAAGTACTTACCAAAAAAGATTTTGTAAGTAAAAAATTCCTGAACTATTACTTGCTCAATTGTAAGATAGCATATTCGTTAAATAGATTTTAAGGAAAACATCAGATGTTTTAATACACCAGCTTGGTTCATGAGGTGTCCATTAGTTAGGGTTATATGAACACTAGACATGTACAATTTCCATCTGGCTCACATATGTTCACCTCAACCCAAACTGCACATGTAGAGTCTTTGAGTGATGGTGGAGAAAAAAATCAATCTCTGAATCTCGGTATGTGTGTTAAATTGTAACACATTTGCTATATATTTGGTATATAATTGTAGTACCAAACATAATTTTAGTGCTAGCTACTTGTTTTAATCTTTAAGAGCTTGTTGAATTTCACTTTCCAGTTCCACTTAATAACTTCATTAGTTCATTTGTAGTGTTTTAAGAGAATCCAAAATTCTGAATCGTTTTCCTGATTCAGATGAAGAGATCATTTTTCTTCCCAAAACATGTACTATCTTTCAAGCCTTTGAAGCCCAAGCACCCTTACTAGTACTATACTCCTCACTTCTACAGTGCACATAATCTTCTCCTCTTCACATGAAGTACCAGAGAACAATGCTCAAATTCTTTTTAGTGTTTCTGTTTTAATACTTCCATGTGTCCATGTGGATGTGCAAATTTTAGTGAAATTTCATGAACCCTTTTGGTCATAGAACTTTAACTTCAGATGTTCCAACTTCCAAAAATGAGAACTATTAGGCAATTTCTATCCAATCCATTTGCAACACACAAGATGCTACTCTTTTGTTGCAGACTTTTGGCCAAACTGAAATTTTAGGGGGGGGGGGGGGGGGGGGGGGGGGGCACAAGATAAAAGTTCTTTTATTCATAAAGCAGCTCAGCTCACCCTGTTTGTCCGATCATTAGTCATCAATAATCCTGGTCATCTTTTTCATAAAAAATAAAAATACTTGCTCTAAATCATAGAGGGAAAACAAGAAAAAGGACTACAAATCCTGTCTTTGAATTATAGACACATATTGATAATATACTCCGTATATCATTGCTAAGTACTTCATATCTTCTTGACACGGAGAACTGTAATCCGTTTGACTGGTAAAGGACAAACTTGAATATTATGCTTTGTAAAAAAGTATATATAAGGGCTAAAGGACTAAAGAAAGATGGGCAAACCAGATAGGGCGCCTTCCAACTCTGAATTGGTAGTACAAAAGGGTTTTGGCTGTTGATTGACAACGGCGGCTATGTAATTACATACGACAGCGATGAAGGTGGCAATGGATATTACAGAGACGAGCCTCAAGATCTCCGCCTTAGAGGTGGGGAAAAACTCCGGTGAAGGTTCGAGGGGAAAGGAAAGAGACGACGGCGAAATCCGGGTTCTAGACGGTTTGGTGTTGATAGTGGAAGTGAGCGGAGTAGACGATTTGCGCGTTCGATGTTTGGAGGCCATTGATGGTGGGTGAAATTTAGCAGTGACAGGTATGAAATTTGAGAGCAAATCAGTAATTCACAGCAGTACAGGCGATTAGCAGCCGATCTCCAGAGATAAACTGCTCATTGTTTGATTTCCTGTCTCTCTTAAAAAATTCGAACATTGTCCATCGCAAAGCACTCCATTCAGCCATCAGAATTCCCTTCGTTAAATCGATATCAACATTCAAGTTAAGCCACTATTGTTAAATCGATATATGATATTCACATAAGAGATTCAAAAGAGTCTATTATCGTATTATATGCCTCGTTTGGAAAATGGTATCAGCCAATTTTTTGCTTTTATACTATAATAATAAATGTGTGGACCTTTGTTCCAAACAACAGGGATTCACAATTGATGAAAAGACTCGTACTAATAAGAGATACTTTGATCTCTAAATTTTCCTCCCTAACCGAGACCATAACCAATATTGGAAAGATGGTCCACAATGGAAGGCTCTCCTCTTCTAAGGTATATGACTTACTTAGGGTGAAAAGGAATATTCAAGCATGGATGTCTTTCATTTGGAGGGTGTATATCCCTCCCAAATTCTCGTTCATAATGTGGCTAGCCTACCGTAATAGACTACCTACATATGACAATATGGTTTACCTTGATATAGTTAATGTTTGTCCATTTTGTAAGGGTGGCCCGGAGACGGTGTCACACCTATTTTTTGAATGTATATGTAAACAGGGCAGGTTTGGGAAAGGATTAAACTTTGGCTCGGAATCACAAGAAGAATGTCATCCTTGAAGAGTGCGGTGAAATGGATCCAAAAAGATTGCAAAGGAGCGCATATAAGGGCAAAGGCTACGAGGATAGCGTTTAGCTACACAATATATTGGATATGGAGGACAAGGAATGCAATACGGTTTGATGGAGCAACACTAAAGATGGAAGATACTATTGCACATATTAAATATATAGTGTACAAAGTGCTCTACTCATTATATCTGTATCATATGATACCTTTTTGAAGCATGAACTAGTTTTTTGAAGATACTATTACGAACTAGCCTTTTTTGTCACGAGGTGATGACTATTTTTGCTAGATGATAGATACTAGATGTTAAGCTTAGATAGCTTTTGAGGTTATAGGGTATCCTTACTAGGATATGCCTCCAATTTTGCCCATTTTGATGTACATATACTCCGGTTACTATCTATATATTTAACTTTTCCCAAAAAAAAAATGATAATGATTTTGACTATCTAAACAATTAAACTTAGGGAAAATTAATAAAAATAGCACAAACTTTGAATGACTGTGAGTTAAACACCCCTAACTTGCACATGAAATTTAAATACCCTAAACTTTATATAAAAAGTTATTTTTACACCATTGTCATATATTATTTCTTTCAAAAATGTAAATTTATCGGTTTAATTGCATAATTTAACATAAAAATTCAAAGTGTTGCAATTATATAGATTGAGTGTAACATTATTTATTTCCTAATGGAAATTTAGAATGTTAATTATGTTTTCATGAATTCAAAAATATTTTAAATTATGCAATTAGCATCATACACTTACATTTTTGAAAGAAATGATACTTGACTATGATGCTAAAATAACTTTTTATGTATAGTTTAAGTATTTAAATTACATATGCAAATTTGGGGTGTTTATCTGACACCCTTCAAAGTTTGGATATTTTAGTTATTTTTTCCTTAAAAATTATTGTTTGGTAGATGGGGGGTTGACTTACCTAATTAGATTCAAGAACCCGAAAATTAAAACGATGAGGTGCATTAGGTTTGGCGTTACCGTTTTAAATCTAGTCTCCATGGTAGACTTCCACGCTTTGGTATTTAAACGTTCTTCTGTGCTCTGGTGATCTGGTTTATTAGAAATCCTTCAGCCATTATTAGCATCTCCAAATACTCCAGATATGTATAATTATTGAATTCCATTCGTTCGTCATTTTTTTCTCTATTTGTATGAGCAAACCTCAATTTTGGAGAAGACCCATTACGCCCAAGGTAGTATGCAACTGTGGCCTATATTAAAAATATAGTCATGTACAGAAATCATGTTATCTTTGATTATCTTTTTTGGAAAAATCCTCATACAATTATGCAGGTTTTTAATATTTTAAGTTCCTCATTCTACACGGATGTATAAGCATATGTGGTTCAGTGATGTTGTTTTAGGTAATGAGTTAATAAAGTGAAAATAAAGTAAGAATGAATTAGAGACACACAAATGTTACCAAATATGGTATGGGACAATAATAAAGGGACATCCAAAAATAAAAAATGGGACAATTATAGGGGGACAGAGGGAGTACTACATATGATTTATTCTATGTTGATCAACTTAAATGTGTTATATGCAAACTGCTTTTGCTCTATTTACTGAGGAGGTGTTTGGATTTGATTCTTAAAACAACTTATGCTCTTTTTGAAGGAGTAAAAAAAGAAGTTAGTGTTTGGGTGAAAGTGTAGAAGTACTTTTGGTGCTCTAATTTGCTCCTAGAAGCAATTTTTTTAGAACCTGCGGAAGACCAGCTTCTGAAAACTGATTCTGATTTTGATTCTATTTTAAAAAAAGCAGAATAAGAATCAATTCCAAACAATCCCAAAGAAGCTTAGGGATGAAATAAAGTTAAAATTATTATTTGGTAAATGGTGGGTTGAAGTAGCTTATTAAATTCAAGAACCCGAAAATTAAAACAATGAGTGTGGCGTTTAGGTTTGGCATTACCGTTTTAAATCTGGTCTCCATCGTATACTTTCAAGCTTTGGTATTTAGAGCTCGTTTGGTAACACTGAAAGGATGAATCAGCTGATTTTGCTGAAATTTATGAAATTCTGGTTGAATTGGTACAATAGTGCACTTTAGATGATCAAAAGGAGAGACGTTTGCATTTCTCATGTGATGACTACTTTTTATTGGAACCAGACCCTTGAAACCCTGACCAATTGCCTAAGTATAGAGCAATGTGATGACATCAAGGGGTTTAGTTTGAGTGGTTAAGAATGGCCGGGAGGGTCGGCCGGGGTCAGGGCCAGAGCTAGGGGCCACCTAAGCTCCAACCCATCCCAACTTAAAAAAATGTCTTTCTATTTCTAATACAAAATGTTTCTTGTAAAAAAATCCCAAAAATATTCTTTTTACCTGTTCAGTCCGACCTAGTGCCCTGACTCCACCTCTGGACGGGGTTATTACTTTAGTAAGGCAGAGGTTTGACGTGCACTTTGTCATGGAGCGTCAAAATAAATTCAATACTAGCACTAATACATAGTATAGGTGAAGTAGAGTTCGTATCCACAGGGAAATGAATAATTCTCTTTTTATGAAACTAGTAAATAAAAGGGGGGTTTTGGGATTGAATGATTTAATTTAAAAACTAAGATGAACAACCTATATGTGTTTTAATTCAAAGATAAAAGAGACTTGACATTGCTACTTTCCACTTGTTGATATATTTTAGTCGATCATTGTTATATCTATAACTTATTCACTCTCGAATACTCAATCGAGGAGTATATCCAATTTATCGACGGTAGTTATTAACAACGACCGTTCATTAATAACCCTTACTATTAGTCAAGTATAGAACACCGCCATATACCAACTTGATAGTAGCATTTAATCTCTTAACTCCTTGATGAAATCAATTGAGATTGATAACCTCAACACAACGGTTTCGGTTTAACCAACAAAATTAATCACTCTTAAGTTTATCAACCACGACCGTGCATTAATAAATCGAAGTTACTTACTTGTGAAACTATCAACGATTAACCATCGGTTCGTCGATCGTTTCTAGTAATAATTAATATATGAAACAAAACTAGTTGATCCTTTAAGTAATGTTCAAAATATTAATATGAAATATGAATAGGAATTAATTAATATTCAAGGAAGAATATTATTAAAGAAGATGAATCCTACTATAATTAATATCAAGATGTTAACTAATTGTCATCTTAGCAACAATCCCTAACATTAATATAGAGGAAGAAAATACTACTCTAACTAATGTCAAGATGTTAACTAATTGTCATCTTAGCAACACTCCCCAACATTAATATAGAGATAGTATTAAGGAGAGAACTAATAATTAATATTCAAGGGAAGAAGTTAAGAAAATAACTCACAACTTTAATAATCAACAAGCTTCAAGAGCAACACCAAGAATTGGAAGTTTAGCTCCTCATTTGGAGACTAAACATAGCTAGAAAAATATAAAGAAATGCTATTCTAAACTGAGCTTAAGAGTATGGAAGAAGGGACGATCAAATGGGAAGGAAAAGGGGTGTATTTATAGGTGTTTGGAGGTGTCAGGGTCATTTACCCGATCGGGTTTTTCAGAAACCCGATCGGGTTTCTTGAGTAAATGCTGGAATCTTCTTTAGTCACATCTACCCGATCGGGTTTTTGATTTACCCGATCGGGTAAAATACAAATCTTTGCCAAATCTTCGCCCTGCACGTTTAATTGCCTCCAAATCAAAATTTGATCTTTGGGTCAAGTCAAACCCGATCGGGTTTTTGGAAAACCCGGCCGGGTTTTTGACTATTTCCCCAAATTTTCACTTTTTCTTGTTCCCTTGCACTTTCCAGGATCCTTTTGATGATCTTTACATAGTTTAAGCTCAGAAAATCCCTAATCTATACAAATTACTAGTAACTAGGAAAAATAATGTCTTACACCAAAAATGTGTAATTTCCCAAACAATAACAAATAAAACTAGTTAAAATTACAAACATAAACAATAACAATTTAATACTATCAGGGTTCCCCTGCCATCTTTTGGCAGCTCTTCCTATGACTCTGATTATGATAGGGAAATATTTAGTGGTGTGTGACTTAACGGTGTAATAAAATTTACTCACTGGTTCAGTCTTCTGGATTGCTTTTCACAACTTAGAGCCAATACAACCATTAGAAGCTATGCAGTAATCTACCACTAGGGAACTGAGTTAGAAGTTGTTACATAGGCATTAGATTTACGACCAATACAACCTAGAACCAATATTAGAGCTAAATGACTTAGCTGTGGGAATGATTGTTTGATACACATCCATGTGGTGATATTGTGGAACTTTTAGAAGAGGAAAGAGATGAAGAAAATGAACTAAATTTTATTGAGAGTCTTAAAATGTATTTATACAATAGCTAGTCAACATTCTCTTGTATTGGTCAATGCTAGCAACTAACTGATCGTTGTAACTAACAGTATGGCTAACTGAAATACTAAATGACTAACTATATGTACTCTCTCAATTTACAATTTTATTCAATTATC